ATATTCGATGTTTATCAAGACAAAAAAAAGAAATGTTGAAATGTTGCTCTATGCTTTGGCACAGCAGGTACGATGGAACGCAACAGGTTGATAAGATAGAAGTGCAAAATGAAAATCCGGGAAGCTAAGGAAAAATATGAAATGCAGTTGGCACAATCTGCACTCAGGCAGCCTAAAGACTATTCTTATACAGAAATTACAGAAAAAGGATGCATCGTTGGATTTCAAACCTGATTGACGAAGGGACTAAGCCTGAAATAATAGATCAAGGAGAAAACAGAGGCTATGAGTAACTATTTTGGGACAGGTTTTACTCAAGAATCACTTTTCGACAAAGAACTAGACCCAAATACACAGTCAACATCGATCGAGACGATTAACTTAAGGCTCTGAACACAAACAACAAGAAATCAACAGGACTGGATGAACAACACCATAAAATCCTGAGAATTACTGCAAAATATATCGCAGCACCACTCTCTGTGATATTCAATATGTCACATAAACAAGGTGTGTTACCTATGATCTCGAAGGATACGAACGTCGCTCCCATACATAAAACAGAACCAAAACAACATCCATCGAACTATAGACTCGTAATCCTCATCAGGGTTGTAGTTAAAATATTGGAAAGAATAGTCAAAAAGACCTTAGTGAAATTTGTGGAAACGAACAACATGTTAATCAGCGAACAACATGGTCTCAGAAAGAGTTTGTCTTGCGCAATGAACCTCCTTGTAGCAAGGGAATCTTGGATAAAGGCGCTAGACAACGGAAACTCAGTGGATGTTGTCTACATAGACTTCAGTAAGGCATTTGACAAGGTGCCAACTAATAGACTGCTATTGAAATTGGAAAACCTCGGTATTACCGGACCTCTTTTAAAATGGATTAAGGATTTTCTAGTACGTCGTAGACAGAAAGGAAGAGTAAATTCCAAGTGCTCTATCTGGAGACCAGTACTTAGTGGAGTACCTTGGACCGTCCTAGGTCCTCTACTTTTATAATGCATGTAAGTGATCTCCCATGTATAGTACAGTCTCCAATGTTATTATACGCTGACGATGTAAGGATCTGGCGAGTAATAACTAGAGACGCAGATGCGTGCACACTTCAGGCAGACTTAAATAATGTGAAAAGTAATAACATAGGCCGTAGGCTTTCTCTCTACGCGTCTTGGATTCGCTCATATCCTGATTCTAGGCGACTTCAATCTCCCTAGATCCAATTTCGCGTACGTATATTGGAGGTGAAAACTCAACTGAAGCTCCGTTCTTCTTGGATTATACAAAAATGTGAAGTTGGCAGCTCGTTGAAGGAACAGTCAGACACCGTCGCGCTTAGACTGTGTATTTACAAACGAAGAATTCCTTGTTGACAACCTATCAATCCTGGCTCCCCTTGGGAAAAGCGATCACGCCGTTATAGTCTTCAGTTTTGTCAGCAAAAATGAGCTAAGATATCCCCATGACAACAGGCGCTGGAATTTCAAACGGTTGAATGTGTCAGCTCTACAGGACTATCTACAACAGGTGAATTGGGATGTTCACCCTCAACTTGATGTGGGTGTTGATTAGGACTTTTTACTGCACACGCTCTTATGTAGTAAAAAGCAGTGAGTTCCTCAAACGGCTCCCAATAGCTACAAGCAACCTACAATTATCAAGAACCGTACTCATCGCCTGCTAAACCGCAAAAGGCACTGTTTGGCAGAATACAAACGGACTGACAACAACGGCGCGTACAGGCAATACAAACATATAAGGAACATATACACGAAGGCTATAAGAGAAGACAGGCCTCAGTACAAGACAGAGCTTATGGATATTTGTCTCCGATCCAAAAAGCTTATTCCGTTATGCAGCTTCTCTTAGTCAAGCAAAAACTGGAGTTTCCCAACCACTAGGTTCACTATGCTATAATGGGGGGAGCAGCCTCAATCCTGGCAACACCGCTTAGAGTGATGTTCTCACACTCGCTAAGCCGAGGCAAACCACCGGAAAATTGGAAGCTGGCTCATATCACACCAATTTTCAAGGGATGCTGACGCAGCGAAACTTCAAGTTACCGACCAGTGGCTCTGCTCTCTATACCTTCAAAAATCATGGAGTCCCTGATATGCGATGGTATGTATGACTATTTACTGTCCTTAAATTCCTTCTCACCCCAACAGAATAGTTTCAGGAATGGTTGCCTTTAGAAAACCAAGCTGCTGACTGAGGTGGACAGATGGACAAGCATCCCTGATCGCATGGAGGATGTTGATATCATTTACTTTGATTTCTCAAAAGCTTTTGATAGGGTCAACCATATATGTCTTACCAATTAGCTCTAACGATTGGGTATCAGACCACTTCTAATTGACTGGCTCACTTCATATCTAAAAAATCGACATTTTAAGGTCAGGGTTAACTTCACTTTCTCTCAGGTAGTGGAATGTCCTGGTGCGGTCCCCCAGTGTTCAGTATTAGGACCTCTTTTTTTCTTGATTTGTATGAACGATCTTCCACAACAAGTGTCGTCTGACATTACTTTTTGCCGATGGAGAGAGATACTCAACCAAGAGGGTATACTGACATTTCAGGTGGATATGACTCGACTTCAAAGTTGGGCAAACGATAACGGACTCACCTTTAACACTTCAAATTGTAAAGCAGTCCATCTGCGACATGTTGTAAACTACAGTTACAACTTAGGAAACTCCTATCTAGAAGTATCCCAAGTTGAAAAAGATTTAGGAGTCCTGGTGCCCTACGATTTAAAGTCTTACACTAACTGTGACAAAAATGCCTGTCTAGCAAACCTCACACTGGTAACATTGAAGCGCATTTTAGGCCAGTTTGACGGAAGAAATTTCCATATAATCTTCAAGTTTTATTCGTCCTCATTTACAGTACGGAAACATAGTATTTCCTCCCTCATTCCAAAGGGATAAGGACACTCTGGAGCGTATCCAACGGCGAGGCACGAAATCAGTTCGGGGACTCAAATTCAAACCTTATGAAGAGCGTCTTTATTCACTTAACCTTTACTTATTGGAGTATAGACATCTTAGATGCGACCTACTGATGGCTTACAGTATCATTAACACTACTGGACATCCTCTTAAACACCTACTTAAGCTTAGTCCCAACACTAACCTAAGGGGTAACACCCAGGAATTGAAGATCCTACATAGCAGAAAGGACTGTAGGCACAACGTCTACTCATTAAGAGTTGTCAAATGCTGGAATTCGCTGCCGACTGAACTAGTCCAAGTGACTTTCCAGGAGTCCTTTAAGAGGAAACTTGACCTGTCCCTAAGGACTAAGGATAATATCTTATTATGAGTTACCAATTTATTAATTTTTAATCTCTAATAGTTAATATAACTAGGTTCTTACCTGGGGGTATTAGTGATCCCCTGCTACTGGACACGGAATCCTGTTAAGCGAAAGCTCCTTCTATTCCGTCCACAACCATTTGAACCATTTTAAATGCTGTCACTTTTGCATCAGATTCAAATTTCCGTGGTAAGGACGAAAGGCTATTCCTTTTCTAGTATGCTTCTGTGAGTGTCCAGTCTTCTCTTGAAAGAGTCAATTGAAGGTACGGACACCACTGTTTCGGGCAGCAGGTCCTAAGAACTGATGACGCGGCGTGAAAGCCTGTATGCTACGGGTATTTTGTTCGTTCTTGGATTTTTTACTCGCCTACTACGTTCTCTGAGATGTTCTGATCTAGTAGGGAAAAAAGGATATGTTGGGTTCAAAATCATTTCTTAGTATTCTATACATCAAAATTTGATCTCCCCTTCGTTTGCGATACGACTGAGTAAAGAGGTCTAGATTTTCAAACTGCTCTTTGTATGGTAAGCTCCAGAGTTATGGAATTGCACGGATAGCTCCCCGTTGTCATTTTCCAGGATATCCGAATCACTTTTTAAACAGGAGCTTGCAGCCTGGACGCAGTTTTCAAGCCTAGTTCTCACTAAGGTTGTGTATACTATATTAAACATGGTAGTATATAACTTAGTGAATGTCCATCTTAAAGCCCAGAGGATTCGAAACCTTTAGCTGCGACCTCCCGGCAATGGGCCGTGATCTAACGATTATGACCTACCCCAAGATCCTTGTGAGACCGGACCACGGGTAATGGCACTTTCCCTACGTTGTACCTGCTAAACTTTGAATCCCCAAAGTGCATGCAGACACACTTCGCCGCGTTGATAGGCATCATCCACTCTTCAGACCATTTTGATCCATCAAAATCATCCACCTGAGCTACAAATATTCTCCACCAACTCTTCAGACCAGTTAATCACATTATTTAAGTCTGCCTGAAGTGTGCACGCATCTGCGTCTCTAGTTATTACTCGCCAGATCCTTACATCGTCAGCGTATAATAACATTGGAGACTGTACTATACATGGGAGATCACTTACATGCATTATAAAAGTAGAGGACCTAGGACGGTCCAAGGTACTCCACTAAGTACTGGTCTCCAGATAGAGCACTTGGAATTTACTCTTCCTTTCTGTCTACGACGTACTAGAAAATCCTTAATCCATTTTAAAAGAGGTCCGGTAATACCGAGGTTTTCCAATTTCAATAGCAGTCTATTAGTTGGCACCTTGTCAAATGCCTTACTGAAGTCTATGTAGACAACATCCACTGAGTTTCCGTTGTCTAGCGCCTTTATCCAAGATTCCCTTGCTACAAGGAGGTTCATTGCGCAAGACAAACTCTTTCTGAGACCATGTTGTTCGCTGATTAACATGTTGTTCGTTTCCACAAATTTCACTAAGGTCTTTTTGACTATTCTTTCCAATATTTTAACTACAACACTGGTGAAGTCTTGAGATGTAATTTAACTTTGAGCTGGTATCAACGAGACTGAAGTCGTTTCACCTGGAGAATTTATAGTGACAACTATATGATACTGAATTATCACGTCTAATCATTTCTAAAGGCATTCCTACACTGAATATGACAGACTACATTGGCTATTCTAAGCTGTGAAGGTCAGCTGCGGTCAACGCGGGAACGGTAAGTCACATATTTGCTTTCCATAATAAATGTGAGCGAGTTATGTGCGCTCTCCAGGTCGCCGGCTCACCTTGTCTGTTCTATTTTTCAGTCCTCCTGACGTTACTCTGCATGCTCTCCTAGTACACAAAGTGCCTTCTGGCCTGATACGATCCGCTACACATAGGTCCTCCAAACTTCGGGTTGTAGACGAAGCCTATTTTTAATTTATTGGCATCTCAATGTTACTTTATAAATGCCACAGAAACAATTGCTTGTTTGTGCTTTGTATGATTATAACCGTCAACATACCGATGAGGTTAGTTGTTTTATTTTTGCTCAGCTTCTTTATCATTCGAGATATAGGTTTTAAAGCTCTATGGTAATTTTTTTATCACCTAGTTTGGTGAAGACGCTAATAAAATGATGAGTCTTTCGGTAGCACTGACCAGCAATTCCAAGATGTTTGGAATGCGTTTCTTCACCTTTAAATGCAAGTTGTTGCTTCATAACTGGCCTGCGTCAACACCTGAACTAAGGATGGGGAGTGAAGTGGTCGAACGCGTCGACAACTTCACTTATCTTGGAAGCCTGATCAACCCTAATGGGTTGGTCTCTGACTAAGTCTCTGCACGGATTCAGAAATCTCGTTTGGCTTTTGACAACTTACGTCACCTTTGGTGAAGGCGACATATCCGTCTATCAATTAGGGGACAAGTATACTGCGTGACAGTTCGTTCTGTTCTGCTTTACGGTTGCGAACTGTGATCATTGATGGTAGAGGATGATCGTAAGTTACTGGTAATTGGTCACAGATGTCTTAGAAATATTGCTCGCATCTTCTGTGATCACTGGCTAGAAACGTTATCAGATATGGCTCAGAATAGAAGCCAGTGGCGATCCTGCTGTAACCTTCTTTTACTTCATAAAAAGTGGTTGTATCTTCCTTAACTGAAAGATTTCTTCCGAGTGTGCCTTTTCGTCTTCCCCATTATTGTTCTCTTTTTTTATAATTCCCTACGTTCCTTACCTTTTTTCCCTTCTTAAATTCTCATTATTTTGTGTGGCGCATATGTATTTGGCGCATCCTTGTACCAATATTTATGTGTTCAAATAGTAATAATAATAATACTGGCTAAATATTAGTGAGGTTAGACGTAGGGTATTAGGGAATTATGGTAAATCAGTTGATGAAGTTGTGAATCTACATAGACCGAAATGGTTGGGCCACGGTCTACGCATTCCTCATCACCGATTACCACGACGCGCAATGTTGTCTAGTGTTGGGGATGGTTGGAAGAATGTTATGGGCTGTTGAGGACAATAGATCCCCGAAAACTCACATTCTGTAATTTTATCTTATCGATTGACTTATCGATTAAATGTTTAAATATTTGAGTGGCATTCGATTGACGAACTTATTGATGAATGTTTAAAAATTTATATGACAATATCGACCATATATATTTGTATAAATACGCTTGATTTGTGTGCCTGATTGACCTGGTATCTGCTGGTTGCCTGTAGAATACACTTTCTACGTCTTACCAAGACTTCTTGATCGAGTTAGCTAGGTCGGGAACAACGGACCAGAATAGCCTATCGAGTCTCTGAATCCTTGATACTTCGTTCCGTTCCGAGTGAGACGAATCAGTAGTAGCATTCAAGCTTAAAGAACCTAACAGGGGTGGCCAAACCGAAACGTGGCATAAGTGCTTGAGTTCACTAGCTTCTGGTCTTAGCCATCTTGGTAGATGCAGACTACTTAGTTGGGGTCCGTGTGACTATCGTGACCTATATTTGGGGACTCTGGGTGATATGGTTCGGAATCGATCACAATGGTGTCGGTGAATACTCTCTTTGTCTTCCTTTAAACTATGAGATTAAAATTGCTTGTACACAATCTTTCTTTTATATACTAACACCACTGAATTAACTACTTGTATGATTTTGGTATTCATCTTGCTGTGCTAATGAGGTGTGGCAATCTGGACCGATGCATATCTGTTCCTGGTCATACTTTGTAGCTGACTGAATGACTAGTAACTGCAACCGTAACATATATACGTTCGTTCACCTAAGAAGGAGTTACTGAACCTACGCGAAGTTACTTATTAGGACGTCGAAAGTTGGTGACATTGAAATTTTAAGTGTTTTTCAGACTATTATTGTGTATCATATATTCACTTACTTTTATTATTTTCCTCTTTAGAAACTTAGATCGTGTACTTCCTTAAATTTCCTTACATCTAACTCAGTCTATTTAGTAACATGCACAGTAATAACGTTGCCACTAGTACTAACACTATAGCTACAAGGACAGTTAGTAGAGGTCTTAATTCAGAGATCAGTAATAAGTCGAAAATCCCTATAGCTAACCACAAGCTTATAATAAAACCAGGTAACGAATCTATGTGCTGCAGAGCCCACGACTGAAACACTAAAAGCGAGTCTCTAACTAAGCACTGACGATCACATGCACACATTCCTACTCCTGGTAAGATTAGTGAGCAACGAAGAAATAAGCTAGTTATAACAGCGACTAATGCATCCTAATGCAAATTCTGTGGTAGCTAGGTCCACTGTTGCTGTGATTATTTATATTTATTTATTTAAACGCATATTAGTACAAAGGGCACCGAATACATATGCGCCATACAAGTCACTTGATTAGTGTGAGGGCTGTGATACTGCCTGGGTGACAAAACCGATGCTGGTGGTTTTCTTAGGGGGCCTCATCCGGAGCCTTTGACTTAAAGGTTTAATCCACAAGGCAGTGTAGCAACGTTAGGAGATTCAGTACCATGGTAGACCAAAAAATAGGTTGACTTCATTTTTCTTCCATATTCTTATGGAGGATGCTGAACATCCTACATTGTTTAAACCAAAACTCATTAACCTATTGAACTGATACCATTTTTTAACATAAGCACCGTTAGTTTTATAACCACATAACTAGAACTTATTTCCCAGTTCGCCTATTTGGCGATTAACTATCTGTCATTTGAATAAAAATACATAGACAAGGGTTTAAATGGGGTACAACGAAATTAAATTTGGTCATATTAGTGATTCATGTCTTGCAAAATCTTTCCTCGCTAGTAACTAGGTTGCTCCCAAATACTCTGGTACGGCCAAGAGTGGGGAGAGTCAACTCTCCATCTCGAAATGCTCTCACATGACCACACGTTTACAGCCACTCCTGGGGAAGTGCTACTCACTGCCTTCTCTTGACGGGAGTTTTGTTTACGAAATTGAGAAAACGAAAAGCGAATGTCCGGCGCTTTAATCGGGTTGGTGGACTCACTGGTTCCAAACCAATGGTACACATGGGCTCTGGTATCTTGAGGGAAAAATGGCGTATGAACCAATCGTTGGTCATCGGCTACCATGAGATTGCATCTCCTTACGATGCTCCACTGCCTTGTGGATCAGACCATTAGGTCGAAGGCTCTGGGTGTGGCCTCCCCCTGCTTCGGTTTGGGCACCCGAGCAGTGTCACAGCCCTCACGCAAATCAAAGGTGATATGTGTGGCGCATATGTATTTGGTGCCTCCTTGTACCAATATTTCTGTGTTCAAATAGTAATAATAATAATAATAATAATAATAACTAGGTTGCTATTAAATTTTGTCCAATTTCATCATTTTACATGCCAACTAATGAATTATGTGATTGTAAATTACTTTCAAGCAATAACACTTGTCTTTGTCCATTGTTTGTATTGTCAAAATACAAACAATGGGGGTGTGGCCCCCTAAGAAAACCACCTGCTTTTGTTTGGGCACCCGGGCAGTATCACAGCCCTCACGCATATTCAATGAGATATGTGTAGCGCATATGTATTTGGTGCATTCTTGTACCGATATCTATGTGGTAAAATAAATAAATAAATTATCCATTGTTTATTACTTAAAATAATGATGTCTACTTTTTGAGGTCTAGAAATACTGTGGTTTATGCTACTTATATCGACAAACATAAGTAGTGTGTAACACCAATCAGAAGAGTAATCCATGGTAGCAGAAAGCTATGAGGGCCGACTTGAAGAAAATAGAAAAGGAATTATGACTTGGGAGAATCACACAGAATTTGAAAGACAAATTATGGAGTTTTGCAAATGAAGTATTCAGTGTATGGTTCTCATATTTTACCAGGAGATTCTGTAGTTTTGTATTAAAATGCATTGGTCGTCCCCACCTGTGTTCTTGTTCATTGCAATACTTCCAACCGTTTTTAAGTCAATAAAGCGAGTTTTTAGCTTTTCACCCAGTGGCAGAAAGTCGGATGGTTAAAATCTAAACTCAATCTATCTATTCATTCATTATTTTAGATGTTTCTGCTATAACCTCATCTTATTTCCTTTTAATCTTACTCATTCTTATAATTTTGTTGATAGCTTTCATTTAAAAAAGGAGACGTACTAAGAGTTTTGAAACAATTAGAAGGTGGTTGGTGGGAAGGTAGCTTGAATGGATTTGTTGGCTGGTTTCCTAGTAACTATGTAACATATGCTACCAGTTCAGGTATTTTTCTATCATTCATAAATTTACTTGTAGATGAGAAGGGTACTCCCACTACTGATGAAAGTTCGTTGATACACTTACAAAACTTTCAAAACGAGGTGAGAGATCGAATGTATTATCTACTTGTTTATTCGGATCTATCTTCATAAGATTATACAGCATGTTTTAGAAGGTGAATTAAGACAAGTTAGTGAACTATCTCAGTTATTGTCAGTATTTATGATTAACTTGGAGCCTCTACTTCACTTGTAATTTCATGTACTTAATACAACTACCTCTCTTTTCTAGATCATTCTTGAACAAACTCGTCAATTTAAGAGATATATTATTTCAGACCATTAGTATACATCAACATTTGGCCTCGGCTTTAACAGAAATGAAATGGTAGGTTTGTTCGCCGTTCTTTTGAATACATGTTTATCTTTTATCACTCATGGATATTTTTCTTTCCAATAGTACACGTGGACCGAAATGTATGGGTCGGCTATTTTTAGATTTTGCTCCAGCAATTAATGCAGTTGGGTGTGATTATTCAAAAATTTATTTATATGTTATAACAGGATTAGAAGAACATATGTAAGTTATTATCCTAACCACTTAAATTAATTTTCCACCCTAAAAGTCTTGTAAGTTTCCAAGACTTTTAGTTACTATTTGAATACTCGTTCTATTAAGGGAAGACTAGATTGCTATGGTGCATATCATTACCCAATGTGACTGATGGTTGTAGGTAGACAACACAAAATTCCAGGTATTTAGTCAATATGATTGATTCTGTATTACTGACGAATGATCTTTGTTAAGACCAGATGTGAAATTTTTGTTGAAGGATAAACTATTTTTATTGAGATTGTTAATTGCGGTAAGGTTTTCTGTGAAACGTACCATATGTGTTAGCGACCATATACCTCGAGGTGCTATGATGATTTGCGTAAGTACTGAGTGTTAAAATCACCGAGGTCGTCGAACCCAGGTATGAAACGAATCCAAAAGTCATTTTCTATTGGGTTATGTTAAGAAGTTTACGGTTGCGTCAGACTCTGGATTTTTCTTGTCTGCGACGGCAACTACTTTATACTGTGATGTGTAGTAGTGGTAGTAAAATATGATTGATCGTTGAGACAAATAGGCACAGCCTGTTGGCTATTAAATATTTGATTTCCTTTCCTCTCATCGATTTCTACTCCGGACTCACTAAGTGTGACCCCTTGTAACTGTATTGAATAAAGTATCTGATTCTATATTCTGGGTCGTGAATCCTTGATCTGATATAACGTGACTAGTGTTATCGTCGTATTAACGTTTTATCGTAGTACACTCGAGAGTGAGAAGTATACCACCATGACTAACATTGTATACCATTTGTAGCTTTGGTGAAACTGACTCAGCTAAATGGGTTAGTTGCCAAGCCTTCTTTTGGCGTTCTGGACAATAACGAAATCTTTGCAAACAAACTATCCAAACTGTGGAAAAATCTTAAAAACTCAATATCAATTAGATCGATGTGAATTTCGTTCATTGGTGGCAACATTATTAGTATTAATGCAAAAGATTAGAAACAGGATATGTTTCAAGAAGAAAATACGGGTTCATTGAATGCCTAAACGACTTAGTCCAACTTTTTCAGCTGCTGACACTATAATGTTGAAGAAACTTCCACAAGGTTCTCCTATTCACACTGTCAAATGTGGCGCATACATATTTGGTGCCCCCTTGTACCAATATTTATGTGTTCAAATAAATAAATAAATAAATAAATAAATAAATAAATAAATAAATAAATGTTTTCTCATAATCCAGGCTGTTGATGTATAGTGAAGAGTTCCATTCAATTGTTTGTTCAACGATGATCCGTAGGGTCGCGTTTTGGTCTGTGTATGACCGATGCTTACGGAATCCGACTTGTTGATCTCGAAACTGGGCGCCCACTGAATCTTCCATCCGATTCAGCAACACTCTGTTGAAAGATTTTCCTGGTACCGATAGTAGTGTGATGTCTCTGTAGTTCTCACAATTGCTCAGATCTCTTTGGTATGTTGATGAGGTATCCTTCTTTCCATTCTGTCGGCACCTGTTCTTCCCCCCAAACCTTCTTCAACAGAATGTGGAGCACCTTTGCAGTGACTTCTACGTCTGACTTCAGTGCTTGAGCTGGTATATTGTCAAGTCCTGCTGCTTTCCCACTCTTGATTTGTCTGATGACCATCCTGATTTCTTCGGTCGTTAGTGTAGTGACAGCTAAAGAAGGATCTGTGTACGCTGCTACTATGTCCGGTGGGTTCAATGAGGCTGGTCTATTCAAGAGTTCTTCAAAGTGCTCTACCCACCTGTTCCGCTGTTCCTGAATCTCAGTGATTGGCTTGCCTTGTTTGTTCCTGACTGCCATCTCTGATTTACTATATTTTCCTGCTAGTTTCTCTTCATACCACCATATAGTTTCATATTTCCTTCACTTGCAGCTTTTTATGCTGTCGTTGTCAGGTCCTCCACGAATCTCTGCTTGTCAACTCTAATGTTCCTCTTCATTTGCTTCTGTGTATTCAGCATGTGCCTTGACTTTTTCTGTTCATGTTTGGCTGTTGTTAATTGCTGTCTTCCTGTTCTTCCTTTCTAAAATCCTGTTCAAAGTTTCAATAGAGACCCATTTGTTGTGATGATGCTTCTTACGACCCAGAACCTCCTGATACATTGGAGTTCGTGCTTCTTTGATCTTTTTCCAATTGTTCTCCATAGTAGTTTCTCCTTGATTGAGTAGATCTTGTAAGGCTTGGAACCTGTTGTTGAGAACTATTTTGAATGGGTTGAGTTTGTCAGTATATCGAAGGAAGGCTGCATTGAACCTTTTTAATGCTGTTTCCCCAGTTGTCCAGTGATCTGAAGCCAGGTCAGCTTCTCTCCTGGTTCTCACATCTTTCATTGACCTTCCGAATTTTTCATTGATACAGATATGATTGATCATTCTCCTTCATTTCTCTCAGTCAGTCCATGTCGTCACATGATATCTCGGTGTTGTCCATTCCAACTTTGGCATTTAAGTCTCTCATCAGGATAGTCAGGTCCTTTCTTGAGCACTTTGCTATGATCGATTGCAGCCTCTCGTAAAGTTGTTAAAGCTTTCAAGATGAGTGAAATGACCGACGCACACAACTTCATTTACTATAATCGATCTATAGGTTGACACAGACCAGTCCTGAAAATTACAGGTTATGTTCCAGTATTTGGAGTTAAGTGTAGATCATTTTTCTATCTTTTCCTTGATGGATTGACTAACTCCTGAATTTTAAGTTCCAGTCTTGTTGTGTTAGCGGGATATAGATTAAACTGAAGCACGTTGTGTGCAGATTTGTGTTAGAGCATGCTGATTGACCATTTCTTAGTCAATCAGCGCTAGCAGGTAATTGGAGAAGACTTTAGAAACCTTTTATTGCAATTCTTACTCCCATTCAAACTTGTTTATTTGCCATATAATTACATTTCTACTCAACTGTGTTCTGATCTGGGGACTTGTCAAGTGAAGTAGTATCCGAAGAATACTAAGCTATAAGAGAGATCATAACACTGATAAGTTAGGAAGGTTGTCTGTTGTTGTTTATCATGTCTGTCTTTTTCATCTCGTTCGCTTTCACTTTCAATCACCGATCACTACCATTGGATAGACCTTTTGTCATTTTGTTTTTCTAAGTAGTTTTAGCTCCGCTGAGTCGTTTTCTGAGTCTGGTGCGAGGAGTTTTTGAGCATCTATCAATTGAACAGACGCTACAGAAATACACTGATTTTTCCCAACCTTTTGGTTCAAGTCATTTAAAGATATCACTTCTGTTTTTCACAGCTAATTGGATTTAATTTGAGCCGACAGTGCCTTGCTGATTGACTAACTACCTCTGTAGTTGTTTCGGAGATATTTCTAAAACTTTTCCACCGTTGAGCGGAACCCCAATTGGTCTTCTTTTTTTTGGGGGGGGAGGTTTCTGCTTCTAGAGAGGTGCGGACAGACACTTGACCCACATTAGAGCATGATCAGAGTCTTAGAATGTGCTTCAGAATGAGTGGGATTGTTCTGTTGAGCTTTTTCGACGATGCTTGATGTCAATACAGCTTATTCAATTCCATCATTGAGTCGGTTGTAGAGGTCAACACTTCAAATAGTGTCTGTTTTTATACTTGGTACTTGGTAAGAATAAACATTTGCATGACCAAATTTTCAGCAAGCGATTCTCAGTTTCTGTGTGTTTGTATGGATTACTGTAAGACTCATTTAATTGTCTCGTTGGCTTAGACTATCTATTCAGCTATTAAAATCATTTGCTAATATTATGATATCTGAGCGATTGGCTTTTTGATAGAGAATTGAAAGCTCTCTATAACACTCATCCTTTACTTCATCGGATTTGCAGTCAATGGGAGCGTAGACGTAGATAACGTGTATCGCCATATCTCCTTTTCCTTACTTTCTCGCACAAAGGCGACTGGCTATTGGAATCAAGTTTGCAAGAGCCCGTTCTGCTTTCAGCGAGGCCATAAAACGTACTAGTCAAGTCTCGTGATGCGCGAAGGATAAATCTCACCAGATTTCTATATTGAGTAGGTGAGGTCAAGTTAATTACTAAGCTCGAATCCCCTTTGTGTATTTTGGAAAAATAGCATATATCGATAGCACAAAACTAGTGTTATAATTTCTCTTATTACAACCCAGCTACTCTTCTTGCTTAGTATTCTTGGACACTATTTCACTCGACAAGTCCCCGAATCAAAACACGGTTGGACAGGAACGAAATTATATTTCAAATAACGTGGGTAAATGGAAGTAGGAAGCACACTAAGAAAAATGTTAGCATATTTATATTTTTTACGTAAGAAGATTCTAGATTCTTCTCCAAGTATCGACTAGCGCTGATTGGATAAGAAATAGTCAATCAGCCTACCCCAACACGATCATGCACGGAACGTGCTTCATCTGAAGTCTATTGCCCAAATTGACATGAGAAACAAACATTGAAAACTCCAACATATAGTTTCGAGCTCTGTTTTCGAAGACCAGGAATACATTTTCTTGAACTCAAATTTTTATTATTGGTGGCGTTTGTAGATAATGATAGAGTTATAGGACGAGTTAGTATTGGGGATAGAAAAAATGTAAAATGACAAAGAGGTCCGCTCATGGACAACAGAGTTTCGAGTATAGGGACGCTTATGACTTTCCTGTTGCCCACATCGTGGAAGGATATTTCTTCTTGAGGGGTCAAAATGGGAAACTAGGTTAGTAAAGAGATCTTAGATAACTGAGAGCGTGACCACAAAGTCCAAGGGACAACAGCTTAACGCCGGTTACATAAGGCCCTTTCTCAATAAATGTTTGATGTAATTAAGGTCTGTTCCTCTTCTCACTGTAATACTTGTCTGTTCAATTTTTTTTGATACAGTACAGAAGTAACAAAATATATGAGTTCATTTAATATTAAATTACAATTGGTCCATTGTAAGCAACAACTCACTCTTATATTTGAACGTTTGGGTCGTTATCCTTTGCTTTTAAAAGAGATGGAACGCTATTTAGAGGTATGTTGATTAAACTTGTAAAGCTAACTTAATTTCGTAGTATGGCTGTACTATCAAACACATTATTATTTGTGCTTCTCTAAGTTATTTCATATAGCATAGCTTTGTCAAAAACGGGGTCTGTAGATATTAGTATCTGTAAGCGATCGCTTGTCAACTCTTTCCCACACCTGACTACTATCTATCACTTCACTGAAATTTGATTAAATTGTAGTTGGCAACCTCGTAACCGTGCTAGATGATGTGATCGTCTCGTTTGTTGCTTAACAACTGACCAACTATCACTGCGTAGTAACGAACCGTCTGTGAGAAACTATTTCTTTTAATGTTGTTTACATTACGCAATCCTAACATTTATTATCATAAAATCTTGAGTGTCGGAGAGGAGTCGACGAGAAAATCAGTTTTACATTAACAGCTAATTGTTTTTTAAGATCCTTTACACCAACACCATAAATTTTCTCCTAATAGAAGTGGAGACAATTAGAAGAGCAGTTTTTCTGAGTTTTGGTATGATAGGACATGTGTATGACATTTATATATTGTGTTTGTGTACGTGAAATTGATGTTTTTATCTTACGCATTATGATATCATAAAAATGCTAAAAGAACTACCTCAGTAAATGTTTTTTTTTTGAAAATATTTCCTTGTAATTACCTTTATAAAAGTAGGTCTGCCTATTGTTTTTGACTATGTAACTGTGTGATCGAAAATGGATTCGAATATTTACGTTTACTTTAGTCATCTGCATTCTATATGATGTTGATCATATTTTGATATACCCGAGAAAGTGTAAATGTGTAGTTTTTGTGAACGATTTTAAAAGTTCAGAAGAACACGTTTTAGCACACATTTCAGCCAAAAATCTGACATATGTGATTGAGTGATACCGCCACTGCAACGTACGGTCTCTGAGATTTTGTGAACTAGAAAATGCAAGAAACCAATTCACTTCACATTTTTATCGGATAAGTAATTCATTGAACTGTTCTTATGGTGGTTCTGTAGTTTTAATGTAACCTAGCAAAGTATTTATCAGAGCCCTTAGAATAGTGAAGACATTACTTTTGAAAGTTCATAAAATATCATACAGTAAACCATGTCAGTGCATTCCATTCACTCTGATTGAGATACTATGGGAAATGTTACCAGTTCCGATAATGCTGTCTAGGACATCATAAACTTAGCAGTCGTGATTTGTTCACTTTTTCCAAGTTCTTCGGTCTTGGCGTAAAAGAGGATTGTGAGTCAATACTGTCAATGTAATTAACTGTATAAATGCGAAGTCTAAACTTTGGATAATATTGGTAAAATTATCTCGCTTTTTCTTTAGGAGCCACATGTTGACCGACCCGACATTGTTCGTGCAATGAATGTTTATAGTGAAATAACGGTGAGTTTTAAGATTTTCGTATCATAACTTGGTTGATTAACCTTATTTAACATGTTGATAACTAACTAACTAGCTAACACACACTTAAATTGTGATACTACTTGATTGCCCGAACGGAATTAGATAAAACAGGGTTTGAACTTGCAACTTAGTAACTGAAAGTCAGACGTTCTAACCACTGAGCAAACACTCCACTAGTTAGTTTCTCATTGATTTGGTTCCAAGACACGTAATCCCACGCGTAGGTTCAGTCAGTATGTGAGCTATACTTAGTTACCTGAAGGTAAATAAGTGTGTGGACAGGTAGGAATAAGTTCAATAGTTTTAGACTTCTAAGTTTATGGATCAAGATTTTATAGCTAGAAACAATTGAGCGACAGTTTTTGTTGTAAACATTTCACATGATCCATGCCCACATATCGTATCCGTATGGCACTTTTGTAACGTGAATTCAACTTCATTGTCAAGTGGTAAAGTAAACTGAATCATTGCGTTAGTACATTGCAAGATAACAGATTTGTGGATTCCTAAATAGCACCAGCATTAAGACATTCTTAAGCAAGAGATTAATATTTGGTGGTAACTGGCTCAATAAATAATGTTTGCAAATCTTTAAACAAATCCTATTCGGTAAGAAACTATAAAAGATTTTGTGTTTCTTTTAAGCGTTACCAATCTTCGTTAGCTAATATACGGTGTACAATAATAAAAACCAGTGAAAGCAATCGACAAAATCACTAATAACATTGTACTCAGTTTGTTGTTCTAATTGATTTCAAGTTAATAAAATGAACTGTGTTTAAAAAATTAATTGTATAACGTGTTTATTCGAATCAATTAAGTAATTGAAACAGCAATCAAATAAGGTGAGGTCTAAAATGTTTTACATTCAAAAAGTGTAAGTTTCCACCTTTTATTTGTTTTTCTTTCTAACAACAAATAAATAGGAAAGGTGTGCAATCCTTAGAAAATTTAAAGAGTATGATATGAATGTATTACTGTCAGTAATAAATGGATGGCGAGGACCGGTAAGTTATTTTTTATGCAACATACTGTTAGTTTTTCTGACTTTTCTGAAGCTTCTCGTCTATAAGTTTGTTTCTTTGCATGTTGATAACAAGTTTTACACGTTTTTTTTGTAATATAGCTTCATTAACATTGTCTATCATTCCGTATGTTCCAATAATGTGATAAATAGAATTGACGCCGTTATCTGATAGTTATTTTAACAATCTATCAAGTCAATTATTTTATTCACAATATTGATTAGTTGGACAGTTCGTAACCTTCCATGGCTAACGCACATTTTTTGACCGTGGGCATGTCTTTCTCATTCATCCCTGCAAATTTCGGAATACTTCCATACACATATACACTCATACGTATATTCATATTTATATAGGTATGAATACATACGTTTTTATAGATACTTCCATAGTTTTCCTTCTCACGACTGTTATATCATATATATTAGTCTTACTTTGAATGTTGAACAGTGTTTTTTTCATTAACATTGAATAGAAACTTCTCAGAAACATCTAGGAAATAAAGAATCATGTGTCGCGTCTTAAATTGGATATTTACTGACATAATTATCAGAAGGTTCTAGAAGCCCAAGGCCATATATAAATCTATAGATACTCTTGATTTTGCTATGTTAAAGCGATTACGGGTTCACCTAATCTGCGAACGGAACTCTTTGATCAAAGACCAATAATCTAGCTATTCTGATGCTTCCCAGCTCCGCTAACTAGAGAAAAACGTCGAAGTTCGATCTGGGAAATATATTCCACAAGCAGCCAGAAGCATGAACGATAACAACAGGCACAAATCAAACGTATATATACAGCATAAAACTGTATTTGGGAAGCGTTATAAAATAGCTTTTAAGATTCTCTCAAGTGGGAAATACGACGTAAAGGTGAAAAGAGCGCTTTTGGCGCAAAAATAAAAAAATTAAATTTTCAAAATAAAATTTGAAAAATGAAGTATTTACCAAGTGAGTTCTAAGGATCTAACATCTCTAACAGATTTCCTGTACATAAACTAACCTTTCAGTAAAGCTCTTGCTCAAATTTCGCGTCTCTGTTTTATTGTTCAAGTTGTTAGCCATCATAGAAAGTGAATAGAAAGGCAAAAATAAGCGTTTCAGTGGCTGACTTATCACATCCAAACCAAAGTTTTTTAGAAATGCTTTTTATTTTGAGTTTAGTTATTCGATATGACATTACGTGGTATCTTTTTACTCCCAAAATATCCTAAGATTTCACTAATCAGTCACTGACCCTCACTGTTGATCAGATTCTGTAGATCAAGTTCGTCTTGTAGCTTTACACTAAGTGGCTAGATATCAGTTCACGTTTTTGATTTCATGTGATTGAATGCAGTCTACAGAATGCCTTAATAAATCTAAACAAAATCTGAGTCTCATTTTTCTTATCAATCCATGTCAACTAACTGTTTTTGTTCTCCATTACTTATCAAAAGCACTAGTCATCCCCTAAATGATCAATTACATGTTGTGAAATTCAAAGTACTTAATTTTGAACAGTTTGAAAATTTGTTGTTGTACCTTTGAATTTTTTCAATTTTTTGTTTTCTACAGCATAAAAATGCTATTCTGGAATCAGTAACTTGTTCCATTTCACTTTCCTCTTAAGGTTGACATGAGTCGATATTTATTTTATTTAGTTAAAATTTAAACAGAAAACTTTCACGAAATTAAACGCATAATAGACAATTAACCGACTAGCGTTTACTTATTGACGTTGGAATTATTTTGTAGAGGTTGACCCATTCTGTAAAACTTCTAATCTGAAAAAGGGTGACAGGAACAGGTTTAGTTATGTGAATTCTGTAGTGTCTACATTTCGCAAAATCTTTTTACAGGTTTAGTTAATGATTTTGTGAGGTAGCTCTTCATTCTTGTTTGTTTGTAACAGTTTGATATTCACATTACTCTATATATATGTTATAACGCTCAGACTTTCTTCGTCTTTACAAATGAGACTTTAATTTGCCTTAGATGAATATCTACACTAGATACCCTCTCAGAGTCTATTCTACGGGACTTCAACACAACTCAGATCAGTCAGTCAGCTACAACGTAGTACCAGGCACATATATGCATCAGTCCAAGTTGTCATACCGCATTCGCACAGCAAGATGAACACCGGATTTATAGGAGTGGTTAAGTCAATGGTGGTAATATATAAAAGAAAGATTGTATATAAGGATATAGTACAGGAAGAAAGAATTAGTTCGTAGAAAGAAAGATATGAAGCGATTTTAATCTCTAAGTTTAGGGGAAGACAGAGAGTGTATACACCTACGCCATCGTGATAGATTCTGAGCTATATCGTTCAGAGTCTGCAACCATTGGTTAGGATAGTCACACGGACCCCAATCAAGTAGTCTGCATCTACCAACATGACTAAGACTAGAAGTTGGTGTCTTCAAGCACTGATGCCACGTTTTGGTTTGGCCGACCCTTACATTCTTCCAACCATCCCCAACACCAGTTAGTATTGCGTATTCTAAGTCGATAAGTGGACCTCCTTAGGGAGATCAATACCCGAGAATTCAGTCGACGAGAATATTATTTCCATCAGTAGGTCTATGATGAAGTCAAACAAAAATGGAGTAAGTGGACAGCCTTGACAGACACCGCTTGAGGTTGCAAAAGCAGATGACAGTTCGCCATAAGCTCTCACCCGACTAGTAGTGTTCGGGTAAAGATCCTTCACAAGGTTTATGTACTTCTGAGGTATGCCTTTCAATGACAGACACTGCCACAGAACCTCTCGGTCTACAGATTCAAATGCTGCTTTTAAGTCAAGGAAGACCACCATTGTCGGACGCCGATAAGTATGTCTGTGTTCTAGAACCTGACGAATGGTGAATATGTGGTCTGCGCATCCACGACCAGATTTAAAGCCAGGTTGATTCTCTCGTGTTTGCAGTTCATGAGTCTTAGTTAGGTGTCCAATAATTATCGAGGTTAGTATTTTAGATACTATATTAGTTAAACTAATTCCTCTATGGTTGTCACAGGATGATTTTGACCGTCTTTTATATATTGGGACGATAAGTGATTGTGACGAGTCAGATGGGATTACGTCCAACTCCCAGATTTTAGCTAAATATTAGTCAACCTAACCGCTGAAATTGGACCACCATCCTTAAAGACTTCTTGAGTCAATCCGTCTGGACCAGCTGTCCTCTCTCGTTTCAGGTTAACTATAGCCTTTTGAACTTCAGATAGATTTGGGGGACCTACTTCAATGTTCCATTCATACTGTCTGGGAATAGAGGGTAGTTGTAGAGTAGCTGAAGGCCAGCTGAACTGTTCTCTAAAATGTTCCACCCATCGTTCTAAACGTCTGGATTGGGAGCAGATGAGAACACTCAAGACCACAATTCAGATCAAGAACACATGATTAGCCTGAATAGAGCGTAAATATATTTTCACATTAACAACCGACAAAATCCAACAATCACAATAATAAGGATAGGAGAATATATAACTCATCTAACTCCAATCAAACTATCTACAAGTCTGACTAAGCAATTAACCAGTTACTGTCATCTTGGGATGGTGTAGAAGATTTGTGGCTCATGTGGATGATTTTGATGGCGTTTTGTTTCTTAAACTGGATGGTTTGGTCGTGAAGCTCGGAAAGAAAATCCTCTTCCCTGAAACGTCTTCACTCTTTAAAAGTTAAGTGTAACAAGGGACAGAATTATATACAACAAACAGGAATTTTTAATGCTTAAGTTGGCAGTAAACATTCACTCATTGAATTTCTTGAGAAAAACAAAGGATCATATTCCAAAATGATTTAATAACTTAAAATATAGTTCGTTGACCAACGCCACATAGTATCGTTTATATCTCTCCACAACAATGCCGACCGAATTTGATCCTTGCACAATCGATTTAAAGCTAAAACCCCTTCGACAACTTGTAATCCTGATCGATACAGTTTTTGTTATTCTTAGTATGAGGCAGTGCGAATATAAATTCTCATAATTGTGTTTATCATTTGTCTACGAAGACAAGTCAAGTAGTTTGGAATGATCGATTTCTATTAATATTCTTGTATACCAAATACAGCGATTTCAACTGTGATTGCATTTTCAATTTAGTCAAAGGAGAGCTTTAAATACTGCATTGCTGTAACCTGATTAGTTGAAATCCATAAACTGTTTTGATTGGATGTCAAAATTAACATCTCTAGCGAGACTACAATTTATGGACGAAACAATCAGATTTGGGATAACAGGTTTTGGATTTTGGCGCGAAATTCTTTCACCCATTCGTCTTAATAGCGTTTCTGCATTTTAGCTGGTGTCAGTTCATGATGGAAACCCTAAGTATAATTCTCAACACTGACCGTCAATAGTAAATCATAATCCCAATTCCTCATGCTGGTTTATAACCCTCATTTAACCGTAGTAAAGTAGGTGAACGTTATTAGGGTCTCTTTAGCGTTGCTCAACAGTCGTCTATAAATTATAGTCTCACCGGAATCAATTTTCTCATTGATCACGTTTAAACAGAATTAAATTTTTACGGTTATGTCGATTGAAGTAATCAATTATTGTAACAGTAGTATGTTTGTAAAAATTACGTACATATAATTTCCATGTTATATGAATTACTATGTATGTCATTCCTAAGGAAACAAAATGGTTGATAACCATATGATAATGAGTTTCTTTAATAAATAGACTTAGATTTTTGATCAAAGTAGTGTTTATTGTACCTGGGAGCCAATAAACCCAAAAATTTCTAAGTTTTTTTTCATTCATTTATTTCAGTGATTTGTTTTAACATAGTTCTATTTGGTGAAAATTGCCACATATGTTTAAGCATATAAATAAATCATCGTGGTAAGATAATTTAGTTAAGATATTCAACTAATTCTAAATGCTTAATGAGTCTAATATTGCTGAATGATAAACGGTTTATACTTTCGTAAATGAATATTTTAAGAAAAATCAGCGAAGATCTATTTATAGGTTATTGTTACGAAAGTTGGACGACCGTTCAGAATTCATTTCACCGTTTTTGTTTTTTCAGTAAATGGTCTTGTATGTGTCGATGAACCATAGAACCTGATGCTTTGATCTTTTACCGATAATTTTGGGAGTTAGAAGGTCGATTTATTAAGGATAAAAATTTCTGTTTAAATGTTAACGTTTTTGTTAACATCAGATGGAGGAACAGGTGAAAATTTTCTGAACTCAGCTTCTATGATTTTAGTTAAAGTTGAGGATAAATTGAACTATAATATACCTTTTTTATGGCATTTCGTATTAGATGTACTTGATGTTAAAGGTAATGCAATTTTGATCATACTTCTATTATTTCAGCAGCTTTCACCCATAAAACGAGGTGATAATCTCAAACAGTTTTTGATTGTTAGTTAAACACTTAAAGAAAAACAGAAATCAAGCGAGTATTGCCGAGGATTTACGACAAGTTAAGGCAACTGAGATTACTGTGACCATTTTCAAAATACGAAGGTCGGGCACCTCAGCAACCAAGATAATGAAACACAAATAAGATTGTTAGGTCTCCTAGCTGCTCTTCGCCCATTTCTCCAACATGCGAATTTAATAAACAGTTTCCTCAGTCTTAAGAAAATGAGAATCATAAACCACAAAATGCTAATTAGGGCAATATTGAAGAAATTATTCTTTTTCATGTCACTCTTCAAGAAATAAACAATGACTTCCTTTTAAAACTGTTAATTTCATTGAACAAAGAAGGATGAAAAATTTGTCTAATATTGTGTATAATTTTCTATATTCAAAGAAAAAAATACAAGGACGTTGACGTTAATGCTGTTCGTGTTACCATCAACTGCTTATGTGCATTACAGAATAATCACTTTTAAATTAAAAACAACTGCACATGTTCACAAAATCTTATTAATTTATATCGAGAGATCTCGTCAACATAAATCACAATATGTGTATATCACATTCAAAATCTTGGATAAATGCAAAATTCAGGGCATCACGTTCTTACGTCATTAATTATTATTTTGATAAAGGCACTAGAGATTGAAATATCCATAAGTTCAAAGTCTGAAGAAATTACTTTGTATAGAAACTTATAGTCTTAGTTGAGTATTCAAGTTCTATACAAAATATTGTTGTACATATTGAAAACGCCTTTGAATGTTGAATCCTTTTCGAAATTATGTATAAATAAAGTAGACAACATTTTCATTTAGCATAGTAGAGGTAACCAGCATTTGCTGATGCATGCTGTTCCTGTGTTCTCGACGCCGTTATGGTGCCACAAGTACATCATGACTATATTTATTGATGTAGTGGAAACTAAGATTTCGTTTTGCGACTTTTCAGCAGAATATGCTAAAACCTAAATAAAAGCTGATTGAACCTGAAGAATAAATTACAGGAGATGAAATATTTGTCATTTATAATTTCTAAATCTTTCCTCCCATATATAGTATTTCTATTAATTGTTAGTACTGCCGATTCTCTTGTTTTGTACTACAATTAGCCCATACAACAACTTGGTGACCCAATTCTCACTCTACGTGTTCTCCTAGTCAACATACAAGTAAACCAATCAATGATAACTCTACCGGATTTCATTCAAATAAATGATATATTAACAAGAAAAATGCAATTATCATTATTGGTTATATTTCCTACCTGTGTGCTCCTGTTGGCTAGAACAAATCAAACTAATGTTTACGATTATACTGTAAGTAAAATTCACCTCTGTGTATCTGTTTTATATTTTATTGCTTCATTTTATAAAACCTAGAATTACCAATAATTTATTAATTCAATATATAAATAGATCAATATTTATTCAGGAAATACTCATAGGTTTACGGCTAAGTAATAACTAAATCACAAATAACAAATACTACTACTACTACTGTGGTGAATGCTACTTATAAGATTGCTTATTAGTCGCATGGAAGTTGGTACAGTCGAACAGAAGAGTTCCAGGAGGTCAGAAACCATGGGGTAAGCAGAATAATTTCGAGACCAGATTGTGAAGAGTCAGAAGACAGGCTAGGACGGACTTGAACCGGAGAATACCTAACTGGACGCTAATGGATTACTGAATAATAGGTGTATATATTCTGTAAGCCTTTTGTAATTTCACAAAATAAACACATTCTTTCCCCAGTGTCTTTTTCTCTACTAATACTATTACTGACGGAATTCTAGGAATCAGCTTGGATTTTTTTACTCCCAAGAATTCACTTTGATGAATGGACACTTGGTAACTTAAAATTTTAATGAAATACACTATCTGAAATTATCTACGTTGTACATGCAAGGGCAATAATCAAATCAAATGAGAACCCAGAATTTCACGACATACTAGTAAACCGACGTATATCTATCTAGGTGATCAATGAATTCAACGACGAGATTGAATTTCCATTTTTATATTCATTTATCGCAGTAAAATCAGTATCCTTTTTTCCATATTTCAAATCTATCTGATTATTAACAAAGATGGATAGTGGCTAGCAGTGGAATCCAGGACGCGCGTTTCGTCCTATTTGGGACTCGTCAGCTGAATGTACTTGCATCTCACAGTTGATGTACACACTGGCACTCGAACCCAGTACCGTTCGCTCCAAACACCATCATGTTATCCACTTAGCTACTGAATCCTGATACCCACTTGCTTGTGCAATGGAGTGAAGTTTAAATTTATTTGGTATTGTTTACTTGAATCTTCCCATTTATGTTTAGGACTGCAATTGATCAGTCTCTTATTGGCATTCGTGCATAGTGTGCGTATTGCCTCGATATTGCCTTAATTCACAAGCATTATAAGCAAAGGTGATTAGTGGCTAGCAGTGGAATGGAGGACGCGCTTTTCGTCATATTTGGCACTCATAATAAACTGAGTTCCTTTAGAGAACTCTTAAAAATCGAGGAGGATTCAGTAGCTGTTCTATTTTACCCTGAATTTTGAGTTTCTCTACTAGCGGTACATCCTTCACTGACTCGCTACTATGCGGTACGTAATATGCAATTGAGACTTTATCGATTAATTTGTTAAATTTGGCACGATTGTTTTAATATATCGTAGTTAATAGCAGCTGTGAATAGGGTGGTAGTAATAATATAGTAACTGAATTACCATTAAAATCAACACAAGGTCAAGCAAAACTTTTCCTTTATAAAACACGAAAACCTATATTTAAAATCGATGGTTTGTTGGCCATTAGATGTTGACCCTAATGTTACTTACTGCTAATAACACATTCACATTTACGTGAGTATTATGGTTAATTTCGGTTCAGCAGGTTAAACCTTGATCCACTTAATTTGATGTTGGCAACCAAATAGAGGGATCAGTATACTGCAGTACTTTTTATGAGGTTCATTTACGCAATTGTTTTTCGACCCACTTCTCCCACAGTTTCAGTAAAGTCTGAATTATTTAAGCTGTTGATACTTTGCACTGATTTATATATTAGTTGTTAAAACTTAGCCATACTTGGTTATATGTGCTGTGATAAGGTAAAAGTGGACATCTAGTGTTCAAACCATGTCGGTTGGTACTGAAGGGCCACTTAAGGGTGTTGTGAAACCCTGGTTCCACACAGGTGATCATCAAAATGCACTTTTATTACCAATCCTTTTGTGCGGAGTAACAATTTTCCACTATTCTATATTCTTACAGTTCAACAGTGTGTTTAAAACTGATTTTCGTATCATACTATTTTACTTTTATCTTACCGTGTGCAACATTTTTCAGGCAACATAAGTACGTGTTTGTGGTAAATATCTGTTAAATAATGAAAGACTTGTCAGACTTGAATAGGTGGATTACTGTATTGTGTTATTAGATATAAAAGTTTTCTTTTCGGCGAATTCATTTTCAAACTGGACAATCGCAAATATATACTTATTTTTCAAAATGATAATAATTACAATAATAGTGATAATGAAATTCTGTTAAACATGGTAACAGTGAAGTGGGATATAAAAGACATTAAACATTATTCTCATCAGGGAAACTAATAATAGCTTTGTTGTTTAGGACTTGTATATTCATCATGAATATAGGAAAATTATAACTGGGAATGAGAGACTCTGTATGATAAGATGAAATGTCGAAATTCGGAGGAACTGCAATCAGGTGGATCATAGAAACAGGAAAATGCCATTTGTGGCTAAAAACTATAGAGAATATTGAAGCGAAGCAGATGGCTGTGAATGTTGAAAAGAATGAAGAAGGATGGAAATTTCGAGAGATTAAGATATGGTAGAAGAAGAGGTTGTGCCAGTTTGTTTTGGACACAATTTCGGTTTTTGTAGATGTATAGCTATTACTTCGGCAACGTTAAGAAAATGGAATATAAGTGCCCTCGATAACCTTCTATTTACCTTGTAGATGAATTTAAATGCAGAGTCCACTTTGATTGAGTGACTTGCGCTCACAAGGCGTTCGATTATTGAGCCATTTCCGCCTCTTTTGAGCGAGTTTGGATAATGTTCTCGAATTCTTTTGAGTAAAATACAAATCGATCGACCTGTAGTGTCTAGTGCTATATCAAGCTTATATGGATTATTGTAGCTTCCGAATAATCCAATTTATTCATTCTTCTTGAGTCACGTTTTGACCTCGCTAATCATTCTCTTATTAATAATTTCTGTTTCTATATGAGTATCTGAGTGTATTTCTTACGCCATTCATGACATGTTTGTAGCTTATTTTTATCTGAGTTATGCTTTATCAAGTCGATTTGTCTCACTCGCCTTCGCTTCGCTTTATTGCCTTTCATCCTGAATAGTCGTCCGGATAAACGAGTGTACAAAATTTACGTATTCAAAATTATCAGAAGGGTTTTTGTGGAGATTTTAGTAATTTTATAATTGAATTCATGAGTTAATTGAGGCTAGACCGCCATAAAAAACATTGATTACTCCTCTTCCTTATTGAAAAAGATGTGTAATTTTGGGTGTTATATTTCGCTCTTACGGTTTTAACCCAGCTATTCCTATTGCTTAGTATTCACGGACACAGATTTACTCGACAAGGCCCTAAATCAGAACACGGTTGAGCAGGAAGGAGATTATATTCCAAATAACAAGGTTAGATGGAAGCAAGAAGCACAAAAGGAAAACCGTTAGTATATTTATAATTTTTACATAAGAAGAATCTAGAGTCTTCTCCATGTATCGACTAGTGCTGATTGGATAAGGATCAGCCAATCAGCGTGCGCCAAAACAATCGTGCATTGAGCATGCTTAAATCCAATCTATGTCCCACTAACACCTCCCCTTTGAGCAGATTCGTAGGATCTGGTGCTAGGGTCCAACTGCAACCGAGTGACTGGCCTGTGCTTTCGATTTGTCCATCGTCTAGGCAGTTTTTATTTTTATTTTATTTTAACACATAGATATCGGTACAAGAAGGCACCAAATACATATGCGCCACACAAATCTCATTTGATATGTGTGAGGGCTGTGATACTGCCCGGGTGCCCAAACCGAAGCAGGTGGTTTTCTTAGGGGGCCACACCCCGAGCCTTTGACCTGAAGATTTGATCCACAAGGCAGTGGAGCATCGTGAGGAGATGCAGTCTAGGCAGTAAAGAAGTATCACTCTTTGCTTGCACAGAAACTGACCTGTCTGTTCCAGGCGTTTTGATTTCAAAGGTGGCTAGCAGAACATCAAGAGGTCATCGATATTGAATCTCGTTGCTGGCTATCGAAGTTGCTTTCAATTGGTTAGCATGACGTACCCAAACTTCTGAGCCAACTGACACCTCATAAACCACACTCCCCTTCTTTTTCAAGATCCGACCAGCTGTCCATGTAGGATGTTTCTCACGATAGTCCATAGCAAGTACTTTTTGTCCCACTGTGAACAATCGTTTTTGTGCCCCATGATTCTCCATCGATAGGTTTCGTTGAGGCTCAAGAGCTGGCGTAGGACGGATGACATTGAAATGTGTTCGTATTTTTCTGCCAAGTAGAGCTTCTTCTGGAGAGACCTCGTTAGTCGTCTGAGGGTTTGGTGTAGGGCGATAAATAAGCAGGAACCTCTCTAAGATCTCTTCAGTGGTCCCCTCCCCTTTGGATTTTTTAGAGCATTTTTAAATGTACTCACAAAACGGTCCACTTGACCACTTGATTGGGGATGGAGGTGTTCGGACGTGATGGATTCCGTTCTGCCGACAAAATTGTTAGAAGATTACGGACGTAAACTATGTTCCGTCGTCACTAACTATCAATTCCGGGACTCCGAAACGACTGAATAGTTGACGTAGCTTACTGAATGTGCAGCTTGCTGTCGGGTATTCCATGAGAAAGACTTCTGGCCACTTGCTATATGCATCAACTACCAAAAGGTAAGTTTATCCATGAAGTGGACCAGCAAAGTCCAAGTGTTTACGCTGCCACGGTGACTGTGGTATTGGCCATGATTGCAGCTCTGCTTTTCGCGGTGCTTTCATTGCTAATGCACATTCAGTACATGAACGGGATAGCTGCTCCAGTTGGGTGTCTAAATGTGGCCAGTATACATAACTTCGTGCTAATGCTTTCGTGCGATTTATTCCAGGATGTCCTGCGTGCAACTGTTCAAGCACTGCTGGTTGTAGCTTCTTTGGGATTATGACACGTTCGGAAAACAGCAGGCAGTCGTCGATGATTGAGAGAGAGTCTACGCTGGTAAAACTGTTGAAGCTCTGTGGAACTGTTCTTCGCGGACCATCC